TCCTGAATATATGAAAAGCGAGGATGCAGATAGATACACTTAGGATAAACTTATGAGGGACATAGACAGAATGCTTTGTTTCAGAATTCTCTGAATTGTTTTTGCTCTGATAATCGTACCTCGAGTTTTCTGCTACCAAAAATCAAATTAAATTATGTGATCAGCTTTCAGCCTTGAGGCTGAAAGCTTCAGAATTAATCAGAGTTGAGTAAGATCCAACTCCAGGCTGTAACTTGTAGGTGGGTCATAGAAGAATATCTCTGGTTGTGAGTGCCCTTGCTTTTTTCCTCTTTTTTCTTTCTTTATGTAGCAGAAATAATCTGTGTGGGTGGTGTAGTTTGTATGGGAAATGAACAGTATATAAGAACTTCAGTTCTGTTTTCGTCATTTCAATCCTTAGTAAACAAAAAGTAATAATTAAATCTTTCAGACAGGTCTCAGTGCTGTTCTAGGGAGGCATATGTAACTAGTTTACCAAATAACTTATGTATATATTCCCCATCTTTTGATTTTATTTATATAAAGTTACAACTAAATGTTATGGATTCTGGTAGAAAAGAATAAGAAGGAAGAAAAGGTAGCCATACCTTAGAAAAGAAATTGAGTATAATATAAAGTGTTGAGTTTTTAAGTCTTGCACAGTCCTCCTTCCCTGATGTGTTTGTACTTTTAGATAGTTAACAGATAACATTTTGTCTCAGAACTGAAACACATATAGACATAGGAAGGCAAGCATCTGGAGCAGCAGAACAGTGGCTGTCTGAGAGAAGGATATGGTTACGACCTGGTTTACCACGTTTTCAGCTCAGAGTTGCAAAAGCAGCTTAAAACAGCTTTTGGTGAGTTATTGTCCATAAGCTGCACCACACTAATTTACTTGCTGCATCCTCTTATCTTGTTCCCCTTGTGACACCAAACTGTTAATGGGAAGTACTGCAAGTACTCAATTGCCCTGAGGAAGGGAGAACTTGAAATACTGGAAAATGTGCAAACTGGTAATGTAAAGCAGGGCTCCTGAACCAATGTGTTTTGGAACTAACTTTCCCAACCTGCAGCTTGAGAAGGTTAAGCTGACCTGAGTGCAGGTGCCATCAGAAGGGGTGGTCCCATGGCCTTTCCCACCTGCAGCACTAACCCTTGTGTGGTAAGCCAGGCTGGGAGACAGCTGCCTCTTTCCACATCAGCTCCTATTTCTGTCAGTTGAAACTGCTTACTAAATCGCATCCCAGGGTACTGGGGTTTCATACTTATACCACTTATAAATGAACATGGAAACCTCCTGAACAATGATTAGAACAATGTACCTTCTACAGTGACACATTGAGCTCTGGCTGACACAGAGACACTTCTCCATCAACACTTTTGGGCTCTGGTTGGTTCTTATTTCATCTTTTTATGACATGCCTTTTTGGTCAGAAAATCCCTCTTCCTCTGTTGCCGTCTATTTTCACCATGGTGTGTGCAAACATTATTCAACATCCCTTTTGCCAGAACTGGTGAGAAGGGTGGGCTACTTATTTGTACAGGATCTTTGCACGTTCTATGAATTTTACCTAAACTTTATTATTTAGGATATTTTATCTTTCCTGGAATCTCTGGGGCCTCAATAAAATTTCTGGCATCTCTTTTCTTGCTTGGGAAAGAGAAGCACATGTATAGGAAGGTCTGATATAATGTAATTACATATAATTGTATTAGCCTCAAATGGCATTATAGGAGATGCTTTTCAGTCAGTTGAAGTTGTCCTTCATTTAAATTGAAAAACCTTTCAGTGAAAATGAAACATACTTCAGTCTGGTTTGGTTTTTTATATAGGCAGAAGAATAATTTTTTCATAATACAGTTAATGTCTGATAGTCAGATGTGAGGAGTATGATCAGAGTCTGGCATAGGACTATGATCTACCTAGTATTTGTCATTTCTCCAAAATTTAACTTCTGCTTTCTCCGAAAAACCTACCACAAACAAGCTTGAAAAAGCATTGAATCCAGGGAAGTTTGCAGTCTCAGAAAACTGGTGAATGTCCTAATTGCAGTGTTCAGCATAAAAGTATCATTCCACCTTGGACCTCAGCTACTTTCACTTTTGCCTGCGATGGTAGTGTCCCAGTCTTCCCTGGAGTCTTTGGTTGCTGAACAAAACAGATACTGTGCCATTCTCCAAAGAAGTAGCAAGAAACAGAAGATCCATAGGTGCAGCTCAGTATGGAGGGGGGCTTTTAGATATGTGATTTAGATTCCCTTGGGATTACTGCTGGAGATGTATGGTGTAAGCAAGAGAGAAATTACGTTAGTAGAGGAATAACACAATTTTTCATCTTCCACCTGTTTCTTTCCATGGCTGATGCTGTTATTCCTTAGTCTCAACTGTATTAAAAATGCAGTGGCACTGTGAAAGAGCCTGCTGAGGGAGGAAATGGGGAGCAGTAGCATCTTCCCTCTCTGCCCAAAGGGGCTTCAGCATGGAGTGATGGTTGCTGACTCTTCCCACATCTTGACTTGAGTCTGCTTTTTTCCTATAGCTTTTCTGATGCGATAGGGCAGTGATTTGCAGCAAGGCACTTGATGTGCTTACCATTTGCTCTTAGTACATGCAAGATGGCCTAAGTTCTGCAATGGGATGAGTTGGTCAGAGCCAGAGACAGAGCAGTATGTTCTATAGGTGCATCTCCCAACAATATGCTATGTAAATCTCCCTAAAAAGTGGGCTTAAGATTTTAGAGAATAAACAGATGACTCTTTAGGACCAAAGAGGACTTTTTGCTCAAAGGGAGAGCACAGTGAAAGCACAAATCCTTGCATAGCTTGAGTGGTCCCTTGGAAAACCTCACCAACCTTTCAGGAATGAAAGAATGCATCTTTGAAGAGAAGCAGGGAGAGCTGTGTGGTTTAGGTTTCTGGGAGCCTAGACTTACAGGGGAATTATTCTGCTGTTGAATTTCCATCTCTCTTACATAGCTGGGATGGCACATGCACGCATGTGTGTTTATAATTTATCTCTGGGGTGAGATTTTTTTTTTTCCCCCTATGAAGTAGCTTGCTTTTAGTTTAAGTGGCTTGCGGTGAAGAGGCTATGTTGTAGAAAATATGTACGCATTTTTAAGTAGCTCTGTTGGATTCTAAAATTCAGCAAAGCAAAAACATCCACAATGACTGAGAGCTATTGCAGGTTACTGAGACTGCAAAAATGGAGTATAAATAAGCAGACAACAAAACAGCAAAGACAGTAAGTCACAGAATGCATTGACCACAGCACTTAATTTGATTGCTCCACTGACTGACTGACTGCAATTTGTGTTAAACTATTGCATAATAGGAATACCAAAATCCTAGCAAGCAACTAATCTTTTTGCATGATGGTATAAGGAGTAGCTGAATCTGGATTAATGGGGCCCTAATTAGTTCTGTTTCTATTTTTTGTTTGATGAGGTGGTGTTTTGACAGTTTGCATCTCATGAAGTTCTGTGAAAATATTTATTAGTGCAATCCGTTTATGAGTCTTGAGTGTAGCAATTAATAGTAAAACCAAATTCTGCTGAATGTAGTATTTGGATTTTTTTCATCTGGTTTGTGTTTTTGGTAACAATGATGTAATTTTTCACTAGATTTTGTACATTTTATTTCATTTCAGAAATATTTTGTGAGTGATAAAGAGAGGAATCTTAAGCTCAAGGAATACTACTTTAATGCTGCTTGTCTTCTTACTTATGTAAGAAGTATAACTGTTTGTGTCCATATTTATTGGTGTATGATTTAGACTTCATCAAGGGAGAAATATTTAAACCTCAAAAATCAACTATACAGGTTTGTTGTTTGTTTTACTGGGGAAAAAAAAAAATCGATTTCTGAAAAGTTAGAAGGGTGAATCCAGCCCAGTGGTTAGGTTACCTGAGATGGAGGAAATCTTGCTGTGGGGTGGAACAGTTCTTGCCTAACAACAAGGAAGCAGCAGCAGAGGTAAGAGGAGGAAATTGTGTCATCCTGGCCTAAGTGGAAAAGCGAATTCCAGAGTCACTGTACCCTGTGAAATTTAAGCTTGAAGGTATGTTTGTCTGTGGACTGCTGTTTTGAACGTCACAGCTCATCCCAAGAGTCTGGCAGGAGAAAAATAGAAGAAGCATGCTTTTAAAGTGAACAGGGTCCACTTATACAGTAAATGGAGTTTGCTCAGTTCTGGTTTGAACAGTATAATATATAACCAGTCTCTCAAAATACAAACAAATGAATTTACTTCAGTACTGCTACAGTACTGCAGGACCCCAAGTCATATAGGTCTATACGTTGACATCAGTGCTTTACACTGCAATTGTAAATACATATTGGACCACTGAATTCTGTGGGTGAAATGCAGTGCTTGCAGTGGCCTAGGTAATGAAGCAGCTGTATTCTGTAGGAATGCTATGTCTTGCTATTGTTCTCCCTCTTTGAGGCAATGATTTTTTGGGGGGCTTGAGACTGTATCAGATAGGCTGCATTTTGAACTCGGGACAGACTGTAGGACATAAGGTGCTGAACAGAGATCCATGTTAGCTACCCCCATAAAACATCCAATTCTTTTTAGAGGATAGCCCCTTTGTAATATTTAGTATGGTCCTGAGACTTTTTCCTCAATGAAGTGTGGGCAGTGACAGACCACTTGTGATAAATATCTAGTTCTTTGCTGCTGCTTTTTCTTCCAACTTCTGAGCTACGAGGACGATGCTGGGAAGGGTGTCACCCTGTGCCCTTGGGGTCTGTCAGAGAAGATGGCAGTGGCTTTGTTCCTCCTTGGAAAGGACAGGACTAGGAGGGACGTGGGCAGAGAAGATGCTTATTGTTGTATCGTCATTGTTCCTAGTCTAGTTGGAACCGTACAGTTCAAAAATCACAGGATGCAGCCAAGGGTACATATTTTCCCATGGGATTC